TTTTCATAAAACACTTTTAATAATTAATCACTTTTAATAATTAATCACTATCTTTAATTATCGATAATTACATTTGTTCACCACTTTTCTTTTCTTTTTTTTTGACTTATAATCACCTATAATAATTAATAATAACTTTCAAACATTATTTCAGTGTGGCTAATGGTTACATTTCGCCACTGTCTCCAACCTTCAATAATAATACGTTGGTTGTGCTAGTGCTAAATGGAAACGATTGATAGGCGATAACATTTTCTCTCAATTATTATTATTATTATTTTTAATTTTTATATTATTGAAAAATATTAAAAACAATAAATCAATTTGCCTGACAGTTGAATAAGGCGGTGGGTGCAAGCGTAACGGGATTAAGCTTTTAGGCCAGGTCGGTGTAATTTGTTTTAAATTAAGAGTATAAAATGTAATTTAATCAATTAATCAAGGTAGACTGGTGTAATTTATCACAGTTTTCGTTCATCGCATGCATCCTCAAGGTTTGCTGTATATCTACGCTCCGCTTCCGCAGAATCCAAAATCATTTTGCTTTCCTTTATTTTCTTTTTGTTTTTATGAAGCACTGAGACGAGCCGTTTTTTCTGTCTAGGGTTTCACAATCACTCCCCTATTCAGCCTCCAATTCGAACCCAAAATGGGTCGCTCTCGTGCAATCCCCCACTCCGCCGAAGAAGATCATAACCAAAGGTCCGGTCAATTACATCCTATCTCATTCTTTCTCTCACTATACATAAACTTGTATATCTATATATACACAGGTATATATATGTATCATCAAACTTATAATTAAGTTCTAATTAGAGCTACATTAGGCTTTTGGGTGATTGGGAATTGGGAAAAATATTAACTTGGAGAGTTAATCTGCATGAGATGAGAGATACTACTGTTTATGGGGCTCATTGGAAAATTTGGAATGTGGGTTTTTGATATTGCTAATATTTGTGAATGAATTGCTTGTAGACTGCATTGTCTTGGTTGGGGTCCTTACAGATTCCTTTTTTTGTTACACATGGTGTGAGTGTGTTTATCTTCCATAGATAATAGTGGTCTCATATGTATTCATCATATTGTTATATGTGCTGTTATGAATATTCTGTTTCACTTGATAGCAAACATTATTCATGCCTACTACTAGTTTGGACATTCAAGGTGCAAGATATCAATTGCCAATAGTATTGCGATTCTTGTTCGTACTAGCATCACTATTAAATTACTAATACACATATATTATAGATTTTTACCATGCCATTTCATCATCATATTTAGCTCCATTTCTTTCTTTTCTGTTGTTAGATGCGATGTTCTAAATTGGTTTGTGACTGTTATAGAATATAAGCAACTCATGTAAAGAACATGAAATACCTTCACACTAGCAATAACATCTGTTGCACCCAACTTCACTCTTGCTGAACCATTGGCCTGTAGTCAAGCAATAATAAGGTACTATCACATATGAAAAATAAAAAACCAAACTGTTTTTGCCAACCCCAAAAGCCCAAAAACACTAATGCAAAACAAATAGATGAATCAATTTCAGTGGGAACATGCTTGACCTGAGGGATAACTAACAGCCGTAACAGCCTGTTACGCACCGTTACGTAACGGTTCCAAACTGTTTCTTTCGAAAAACATACAAAAAAAAGCTGAAAATAGGGGAAGAGGGATAGAGAGAACAGAGAAGAGGGAAGAGGGAAGATAAAGAGAGAAAATGGAGGAGCAAGAGATAGAGAGAGAGAAGAGGGAAGATGAAGAACATGTTATTGATTTGTTGAAACTGTAAGACTTATGCTATTCTATTCAGCTGCTATCACTAAACCATTTTGTTTGTGTGTGTCTATCTATATATTGTTTGAAAATAATAATAATAATAAGTGTGGTCATTATCTATTTTGCTTGGTTAAAATATGTATATATATATATTTAGGCTCTTATTTATTCTCTTACTTTTGTCATTGTTTATCTTATATATAATAGTTAGTGATTGATTTTTTTGTATATTATAAAGTCATTAATTATTAAAATAAAATGTAAAAAACTCAGTTTATAGTGATTTAAAAATATGAAACATATTGGATCATACTTAAAAATTTACAAAAATTGATCAATATTTATTTTTAACCCAATAAATATGATCATGGAAAAGAAATATGCGTATCGTTAAGTTTTTTTCAAATTGTGCGAAAAATAAAAAAATTCACGGTTCTGGTTACCGCAACCGTTACACTACGGCCTTTACACCCCGCAACCGCAACCGCGTCATCGCCACCGTTACGGCGACCGCAACCGCTTTTCAGAACCGTGATTGTCACAAATTCCTTAGCAACCCCTTCTGGCATCTTGAACAAAGATAAATAATAAATTGGTAAGCTAGACAACACAGATTTTATCAATGTCACCCTACCAACAAAAGATAGGAATCTTCTCTTCCATGAAGCAAGTCTTTGTTTGCATTTGTCTAAGACTGGCAGCCAGGTCCTTTTTCTCCTTGGACTTGCACCCAGAGGTAGACCTAGATACTTTAGAGGCAAACTTTGATGTAGACAGTTCAGGTTGTCAGCAAACTCCTTGGATAATTCTTTAGTTGACCCAATGCCACACTACACTCTTGTGGTAGTTAATTTTTAACAACATTTCAAAACATCTCAAAATCCTCCTAATGTTGATCACCTCCCCCAATCAGCTTCACAGAATAGAATTGTGTCATCTGCAAATTGTAGATGTGTGATCTTAAATTCACTTGATCCAATTGTTGCCCCTTTGATCAACCCCATCTGTTGTGCTCTACCCACACTACTAGAAAAATGGGTATAAGACATGGAACTTTTTGCGACGGCATATTAATTGTCGCAAAAAGTAACCTTTTGCGACAGCTAATACCCCATCGCCAATAATCACTTTTTGCGATAGCATTTCCTGTCTCAAAAGATGGAAGGATATGTTGGATGGTTTTTGCGATGCAAACTATTGGCCGTTGTGAAAGACCTATTTTTTGAGACGGCTTTTTCTCCTTCGCAAAAAGATTTTTTTTGCCATGGCCTCTTGTGTCGTGGCTAATAGACCAAAAAAAAAAAAACGCTTCTTATTCTCTCTCTATCTCGCTTGTCTCTTTGTCATGCCCCCCTCCTCCTCCTCCTCCTCCCCCCCTCTCTCTCTCTCCACCGTTGTCAGTACAGGATCACACGACCACCAGCGCCATTGATATCACGACCGCAAACCATCAGCCATTCTCTGAAATCGAGAAGATGCAATCAAAGGGGTTTGACATTAAGTTCGCTGGCCAAATTTAGAGGCTGGAATCGACAGAGGCGACAATTGGGATGTGCAGTAGGGGCGGAATGTAGTGGGAGAATCAGAAAACCTAATTTTGGCTCTGTTTGGTTTAGATTTCAAAACATAGTTCCACCACTGATTTGAGTGTGATATTTGGTTGCAGTTTTTAAATCATAATTCTACACACATTTCTCAAAACTCATTTCAAACTATAATCATTACTTTTCAAAATTCTTAACCAAACACACAACTCAAAACTCTTTTCAAAACTCAAAAACAACTTAATTTTTATTTTAAATATTTTTTATATTTTTTTATTTTAAATATTTTATTTTATTTTATAGGAATATTTTTAATATTTTAATTTTCATAAAAATATTTTAATATTTTGATATTTTAGAATTGTAAATATTTTGATTTCTCGGAATATTTTTAATATTCTTAATATTTTAATTTTCGGAATATTTTTAATATTTTATTTTTTGGAATATTTTTAATGTTTTAATTTTCTAAATATTTTTAATATTTTAATTTTCTAAATAATTTAAAAATATTTTTACTATTTTTAATGTTTATACAGGCCTAAAAAATTAATTGACAGAAAATAATTGACATAGAAGTTGTTGGAAAAAAAAATGATTTGGAAAAAAAATTATTCAAAAAAATTACTTAAAAACAATTAATTGAAAAAAAAAATCATTTTTTTATTTGAATATTTTAAAAATAGTTTGGTTCTGACTGTTGATCAAAAATACGGATATCGAGTTATGAGTTCTGTGTTTGATTATCAATTATAGGTTGAATTAAGTTTTGAAAACTCATCACCAAACAAATTTTCTTGTTTCACATGTCACATCAAACTTTCAAAACTCAATTCCACATACAATTCAAAACTCAATTCAACACTCTATTCAAAAACCATAACCAAACAGATTTTCTACACTCAAATCATAATTCCACACCTCAAAAACTCAAAATACAACTCATACTCTCAAATCATATTTACAAAATTCTACCAAACGCAACCTTTATTTCTCTTTTCTCTCTCTCTCTCTCATATATATATATATATATGTATGTATGTATAAGCAGTTTCAGATCTCTCTCTCTTCAATTCAATTTACAAAACATGATGCTTTGATTTGTTTTGCTTTGAATTGCATTCTCAGAACTTAAAAACAAAAAGAAAAAGGGTTTTCTTGACAACTCCATTCGATTCATCTGAAATTCTCGTTTTCTCCAAAATGGGGTTATGGGATTCCCTCCTCAATTGGCTCAGCAGGTAATTTACTCCTTTCTCTTCTAATCTTCCATAATTTTTGTCAAGATGATTCCTGTCTAACTCCAAGGGATGAAGTGCAAAATGGAGCATTCTGTCAGGGAGAAACAGTTTTATTTACTTCTAAGGTTGTTAGGGATTATTTGAAGTTGTGTCATAATGTTATGGTCAATGAATCTCATGCTTTAGTTCTCATCCTGGTTGTGACAAAGTTGTTCATGGTGCATATATCTTGTTAGACTGTTTATATACATTATCAGTGGGAGTTGGTCAATTGGAGTAATTTTGTGTTGCTTTAAAACAGCATGAAGACAATATAGTGGGTGTTTGGGAAGTAAGTTTTTTTGTAGGTTTTTTTAGTTGTTGGATATTATTAGAGAAATTTTTTTTTGTGTTTGGAAAGATAGTTGGGTTTTTTTGTGGTTGGATGTGATGTTTGTGAGAGAAAAAGTGAAATGATTATGGGGTTTGATGTGATATTTTGTTTGATTTTTTATTTTTTTTAGTTTTGTAACCAATTTGTCTTTTAGTGAAAAAAACCAAAAAACTATGTTCCCAAACAGCACCATAAAAAATATGAAGTCTCAGAAAAACAGCTTGGATGACTTCATTCTCGACATGCAAGGTATATTATTTTCTAATTTTTAGTTTGTGTCAGTGTCCATGTAAAATTTACTGTCTAATTTTCTAATTAAATGTTTTAAGATATTACATTTTTTGAAAAAAAAAAAGAAGAAAGAATAGAAGTTATTGCCAGAAATTAGCTTGATTGGTATATGTTGTCATAGCAAAAGGGAAGATGCAGGATTCAAGTGCCAATTAGCAAAAATTATGTGCCCTAAGCCCTTAAGCAGAGGCCACATAGTGCGCTCCGATATTACATTTTTTGAAAAAAAAAAAAAGAAGAAAGAATAGAAGTTATTGCCAGAAATTAGCTTGATTGGTATATGTTGTCATAGCAAAAGGGAAGATGCAGGATTCAAGTGCCAATTAGCAAAAATTATGTGCCCTAAGCCCTTAAGCAGAGGCCACATAGTGCGCTCCATGAGTGTGATTGGTTTTTGTTAATAATGCATTTCTAATGAGCATAACTCATTAAATTTTACCAATTTCTATCGTACCCCTTGTTCACACTGAAGATCAACTTCATGCTTTTCTTATTACGATTACATGGAATTAAGTTATTACGTTAGTAAGATCTGCATTCAAACTTTGGAAGCGAAATAATTTTGAGTTTGAAGAAGTTAAGATCTTGATTCTCTTGCGATAATGTATGATTTACTTGTATCATTTGCTTATATTTTTTCCTGATAATTATTATCCTAATTAATCTTGGGAAATATCATTCATCAAGTATGCCTATGATGGAAGACGGGGATCATACTGGTGTGGACAGTGAGGAGCAACCATTAGAACATATTATAGGGCACGAGAAATCCGCAACTGGCATTTTGTGCTTGCTGAAAACTTGCCATGGCAATGAGGCTTCTAATCTTCTGTTGACCAAGGACGTGTTGGGTATTGTTGCTACACTTGGGAAAGTGGATGATGACAATCTCAGCAGGTTGGTTTGAAATTGCAGTCTTCTGTGTTTTTAATTGTTTACTTTGTACTATTGTCATTGCTTCGTATTTAGCTGTGTTCGATCATTTTTCAGCCATTTTGACATGGACATGGTAGAGAATTAATTGTCCCATCCTAATGATATATAGCTCTAGTGATTGAATAGCTATATTCTGGTAAATGTTTTGTATATTATTAGGTTTATTTGAAGTTTGCATGGTCGTGTGTTTTTTAATGGGTGCAATGAGTGTTGTTGTTACATTGATGTCTTGGCAGTTCTGATGTTAAGATGCTTTTCTAACTTTACTGGCTCATGGATGGTAGACTTTCTACAGCATGTTGATTAAGGTGTAGTCAGAGAGTCTTACTGTTATTAGTGATCTATAGTATACTTGACATGTTCTGTTTCCCCAACTCTGGAGTCAGGCTTCTCTCGGAGTACTTGGGTATAGAAACTATGTTGGCAGTTGTCTGCAAGACTTATGATGGTGTTAAAGCTCTGGAAACATATGAAAATGATGGTTCTGTAAGTAAAAGTTCTGGTCTTCACGGGCTTGGACCTTCCATAGGGAGGCATTTGGATGGCCGTTTTCAAGTCATTTGTCTTGAAAATTTAAGGTATGTGGCCCCATGTACCATCTTTTTCTTGTGCAATCTGGAGTTCTAGTTTGTTGATACTATAAAACATTTTTTTTTCTTGTTAGACCATTCCATGGTGAGTTTGAAGCTGAGGACCCCCAGATGCAGCTTGATCTTTTCAAGCCAAGATCATATTGTAAATAGTTTTTAAACTTTTTGTTGCCTCAGTTGCAGATCGTATGTTCAGATCTGGTGCTGTTAATCTCATCTGCGTTGATTCTGTCTCAGCTCTTACTCCACGAGCTGAGATTGAAGCAAGTTACATTGTTTTTATTTTCAGAATACAGAAGTTGACAAGATTGCTAATGCCTGACACATCCTTGGGTTTGTTTGTTGTACATAGGGGGAAATTGGAATGCTGCAGATGGGTTTGCAAGCATGTCTCATGAGCCAAGCTCTGCGTAAAATGTCTGGAAATGCGTCCAAAATTGGATGTACTCGTATTTTTCTGAATCAAATAAGACACAAGGTAATTTTGATTAATAAGGTGTAAAATAGAGCCCTGAAGACTAGAGGAAACACTCTGTTACAATCACTTTCTTCAATCACTCTCACAATTACTACAACTCAAGGTCCAGTACCAAAGGTTCGTTCATTTCCATCAATTTTCTCATCATTTTCCTTGTAATTTTCCATTTCACTATGTTTTCCCCTGTTAAATCATATATTTTGCATACACAAACACACACACACACATATATATACACACTAGGGGTATAAGCCCACCTGATGGGTGTGCTATTAAATTTGTAAAATATAAATTTTAATTTTGAATTAGTAATATATATAATGTTTGTTGATCAAGTGGTAATGGTGTTGTTTTCCAAACTCGAGATCTTAAGTTCAAATCTTGTACACTTCACTTTATAAATTTTTTTTCTCTTTTTTTATATAAAAAAATCCACTTGGCAAAAGGAAAGAGTAGGCTTCAAGACACTAAAGTGAGTTCTTCACACATATATAACTAGCGGTTTCCACACGCGATGCGTGTGCAATTCAAATAAATAAAAATAAAATAAAACATTTATCATATATTATGTGCTAGTTAAGTGGTAAGAATTTTATTTATTTGACATAAATCTAAGGTTCAAATCCCCTCATCTCATCTATCTAATTTTTTTTTTTTAAATTTCAAATAAAAAAGTAGACACGTGGCAGCATAAGAAACAAAGCTTCAAGACACCATAAGGAGTGTTCACTTTATAATAGTATAGATAGATAGATAGATAGATAGATAGATAATATAGATATGTAGTTTATACAGAATTATTTGTAGTGAAGTAATTTTATTGGTTTGAAAGGAGTTTGAATACTGTTCTTAATTAGATAAGTGGTCGTTGTTGTTTGTGAGTAGGAAGCTAAAATAGTCTATTTGTTTATCAAATCATACTGAGTTTTGCTGGCTGACTGAGTTGCTTTCTTCTTTCCTTCATCTAGAAACTTTTCGAAAACCATGATTCTCAATGCATGGTTTTTCAATTCACAGTTTACTCTTGATTCTTAAAATAGGTAATCTTTCTCATTGATTTGAAATTGAGGATTCTCAATGCTGGTTTTTCAGTTCACAGTTTAGTGTTGATTCTTAAAATAGGTAAATCATTTTACAGTTCGATACGTGATTTTATCACTATAGTTCTGATTTGGAACAAGACTAGATCGTTTAGATACATACATACATATATATATGCATACATATAATTTGTTATTTTTTGTAAACACTAGAGTACTTAATTATGCCAATGACTTCCCCATCTTCAGTGAGCATTGAAAGCGAACAATGAGGTACAGCAGTTGCTGCTGTGCTGAGCTCATAGTAGCAACCCCAAACCCCCCAATAACCTATTTAAACTTTAACTAAATTGCTTGTAGCATATATAAACACTAATAAATTTGACTAAGAATAAAATAGTTCACAGTAATTTTGTAAATCCATCCCAATAACCTATTTAAACTTTAACTAAATTGCATGTAGCATATAAACACTGACTACTATAGCGGGTTGCAAAAGGGAGTATTGAATGAATAGTAATCAAGATGTAAACAAGTTACAGACAATAAACAGAGAGTATGGAGAAGGTCTTTGGGTGAAAAATAAGGAAAGCACCCCTTAAACTGAAAACAAATTAACACACTATTAAATACACCTTATCAAGTGTCCCGAAGGCACTCGTTACCAATAGCCAAACTTTATTAGTCTCATGTTATTGAAAGGGGGTTTGGGGAATGAATGGACTAAAATTGGAAAAAGGGGAAATATGATTAATTAAGCATTGAGTTAAAAGTTGCTTGAAATATGGTGACAATAACAGACTCCATATGAGTATGAAAGGGAATTCTTGCTTATTTTGGGAAGTCACAATTTACATTTGGTTGTCAAGAAAATTATTCCCGGTTTGTAAACCCTAGTTACTGTTATCTTTTTTTGCATAAACTATATTTTGGATGTGTTAATGTTGTTGTGTTGTCAATCACTACTCTCCATAATAAGCTTATAATGGGGCTTCCTTTCAGTTGGATTTATTTGTCTATATATGTTCTTTTTTGGACGATATGTCTTTTGGGTCCCTCCACTGTTATGCAGCAGACATTGTTTTTTTTCTTCTATTCTTTGATTAAATGTTTCTTATCACTCTTTGACTCTGACTTTTGCCCTAGTATCACCTCCAAGTTATCAATTTGAAACTGATAGCCTTTGTAAACAGATTGTTTTATATGAATATATTGATCAACGAAGGAATGAAATTTGCTGCTTTATTTTGCTACTATTATGAATCATCAATTTATTTTATTGATTTAGCATTTGAATGGAAGAATTGATTTTTGTTCTGATAATTGAAGTGTCAATGGTGGTGAGCTGTTATTCTTTAATGATTTGGCATTTGAATGAAGGACTGATTTTTGTTTTGAGAATTGAAGAGTCAATGGTGGTGAGCTGTTATTCTGAAGTGACATCCATTCTTTTAGTGATTCCTGTTCAAATATCCTTCTCATCAAACTTCTCTGAAATGTAATTAATATGATCTCTATTTACATTCAGAATTTGAGAAATTCTTCCCAGTTTTATATTTACTGTATGTGGCCATTTTCATTATCTAAAAGGTTTCCAGGGGAAAAAAATTGTAGTGTGACAAAAAATCACTCTTAGAACCTTTTAGAATTTGTAATAAATGACTGTTGATAGTCTAATAATTGGTAAGTGTGACAAACCATCCACTTTGGTCGACGGTGCTGGTTGGTTTTATAACTCTATACGACAGTCTTAGCAGAACCTTTGGAGTCAGTAATTTCAACTTTGATGACTCTCTATTCATGCTCACACATCTTGATCGATTTGTCCATGGTATGGAGTCACATAAAACTACTTATTCCTTGGAGTTCAAAAATTGGTTATTATGTCATTAACAGAATGTATGGAAGTCAAGTGAAGTTTGTGCCCAAAAAATTGAGTTTATAACGTAGGGTTTTGGGGAATTTTAAACCATGGAAGCCCTTGCAGTGATTGGAATTAGTTCACTTATTTCTAGCAATACTTGTCTCTCACCTGGTAGACATCCATGATACTGCAGTTCTGAGCTTTCTAAAAATTTAATTAGCCATTTCTCCTGAAAAAGGGAACTGTCCGGTACAAGGTTCTCTGCCAGTTTAATGAAATAAATATTAATTGTTTTACATTTTCTATAAGCTTAAAATTAATTATATTATAAATGAATTTTTTTTTGTGTTTCGTTTTGCAGATGCAATCCCTTTTGAGTGCGTGATGATATCTTCACATATTGATATTGGAGCTTACTGTTGCTATTAAAACAAACTATAATATATATGTTTTTTTATTTGCATTGTCGATACTTTTGTTTTGCTTTAGATACAAAAATTTAAGTTATTGAATATCAAAAGTTATTAGTATTGTTAGAGAATGTTTTATATATTTTTGTAAAGAATATTTGGTTGACAATTGTTGCAGGGTAAATATATACGTATGATTTTGTGAATATGAATGCGGATATATTTTATTTTAGAAAATATTAATAATTTGCACAGGGAATGAATTAATAAAATATATATTGATTTTATGAAAATAATTTTATTGCGACAATAATAACCGTCGCTAATGTAATCATCATTTCCTTACATTTTATTAGCGACGGGTTAACCTGTAGTATATACATATTAGTTTAAATCTTTAGCGACGGTTTAAACTGTCGCAAATATGGTATTAATTTAATTTTTCTTTTTTGTGACGTTTTAGACCGTCGCTAATAATGCTTTTCACAACGTCAAATATCGTCGCAAAAAAGTTTTGGCAACGACAACCAATATCGTCACTAAAAAGTGAAGTTTTTTCTCCTTTTTTGTGTCAGGTTAAACTGTCACAAAAATCATTGATTAGCTGTTGCTACAAGAACGCAACGGTTTGTAACCGTTGCAAATATTTTTTGTCATGCCCGTTTCCGCGAGCCCCCATTTCCCGTCGCAGCTCCGTTGCAAAAGACTTTTTGCGACGATACATGGACCTTTTGTGACATTTGAGACTGTTGCAAAAAGTCTGATTTTTAGTAGTGCCAGTAGGATATTTAGTCCCTCAGTCACAATGTTAAAAAGAAAGGGTGATAGTGGGTCACCCTGTCTAAGACCTCTTCGCAAGCTAAATTTTGAGGTTGGCGAACCATTTACCAATATTGAAACTCTGGCTGAAGATATACACTCCCTCATCCAGCATACACATTTATCTCCAAAACCAAAATTTGAAAGCATAGTAAATAGAAAATTCCAATTGATTGAATCATAAGCTCTTTCAAAATCTAGCTTTTGGACAATTCCACTCTTTCTACTCTTCTTCCAGCCATCCACAATCTCATTGGCTATCAACACCTCATCTAAGATGTTTCTGCCCCCAATGAATGCTGATTGTGTAGCACTAATGATTCGTGGTAACGCTTTTTTGATTCTGTTTGCTAAGACTTTTGCCAAAATTTTATACAAAGAGCCAATGAGACTAATAGGCCTGTAGTCATTCAAACTAGAGGGGTTCTCATTCTTAGCAATCAAAGCAACAAAAGAGCTATTAATACCTTTTACCAACTTTGAATTTTGATGAAATTCCTTCATGAATTGAAGCACATCTGCCTTGATAACCTTCCAACACTTTTGAAACAATATAAGATTAAACCCATTAGGTCCAGGTGCCTTGTTTCCTTCACAACTCTTCACTGTAGCTTCAATCTCAGCTTCTGAAAACTCAACTTCTAAGAGCTCAACAGCTTCTCTACCCCCAATGGATAAGAAAGGCCTAGATAGCCTTGGTCTAATAAGCCATGGTTCAAAAAATTGGTTAATAAAATGTTGTTTTACTTCAGCTCTAACCTCCACAGGATCCTCCTTAACAGGATCCTCCTTAACAGTCCCTCTAACCTCCAGTCTGTTTTTCCTAGAACTTGCCATAATATGGAAAAATCTTGTGTTCCTATCTCCTTGTGTAGTCCACTTGATTCTAGATTTTTGAATCCATACCCATTCCACCATTTTACTTAGTTTCCAAGCTTCACCTTTTGCCTATCTTCTTCTTGCTTTCTCTGCCTCAGATAATGGTCTTTCTTCAACAATTATATCAAGAGTATGAATCTCCTCTTCAACCTCATTGAGTTTATGCTCCACATCACCAAAAACTTCCTTAGCCCGAAGTTTCAATGCCAGTTTTAATTTTTTGAGCTTTTGTAAACACTTGAAACCAGCCCAACCTTCCACATTTGCTTCTGCCCACGTAATCTCCACAAAAGATTTGAACTTTGGATGTAGGGTCCAAGCATTTAGAAATCTAAATGGTTTGGGACCCCAATCTCTCTCATCCTCAATCAACAGAATAGGACAATGATCTGAGACCTTCCTTGGCAGCCCTCAAAGCTTAAAATTAAACATTGTAGCCATTCTGGATTAAGCAAAAATCGGTCAATTCTACTCCACTTCTCCCCCTCCTGAGAATTACACCAGGTAAATTTTCTACCCATCATTGGTAAATCGGCCACTTCAAGTTTATCAATCAACCCATTAAACTCCTGCATACCTTTATCTCTCCTAGAACACCCCTTTCTTTTATGATATATTTTTGATCTCATTAAAGTCCCCTCCCAAGCACCAAGGTTTATTGTATAACAATTTAATCGAACCAAGCTATCCCATACCTTCTTTCTTATCCCAATATCATTTGGAGCATAAATGTTTAATATCGCACCATCGAAACTGTTATAGAGAGTGCCTGATAAGATTATAAAGTTCCTATTGCTGCAGCAATCCACTAGTTGAAACACTTATGGGTTCCATATGCATAACAGACCACCAGCAACTCCTTCTGAATCAACTGCCATGAAATCCATTTGGTCTCGGCCCCAGATTGATCTGACAAACTTTTCATCAATTGTTGATCTCTTGGTTTCTTGTAATAGCACCATATCAATCCTTCTTTCACAAAAAACTTTTATAATCTCTCTCCTTTTCTTAGGCCTTCCTAACCCTCTTACATTCCAAGATAAAAGCTTCATTAAAAAACACTTATCAGCTCCTACTCATCCAGGTTTGCTGCTTAACTAGCATCCCCACCCCTTTTCCGTATTTTTTCCTTGTCCTGTGCTTCCAAATCCATTAATTTGTTGAGAATTTCTTCATCTTTACCTTCACAATTCACTCCAAGGATGTGCCCAATTTGGAGTGATGCTTCAGCCTCATTGAGTAGCATTCTCCTATTACTTGATTCATTTGCTGCTAAGGGGGATATTGCAGCCACCG